TTAGTTCACTGTTAACTTATTCATTGATTTCAATAAGAAAGGTTTTAAGTTCGAAGTCGAACCCCATCCCAATCAAAGTTGGCATATTTAGTACTCTATTTTACTTTTATTAAATTAAATAATAATTTAGTAGTTACAACAAAAAATAATACATATGCATTTCGATCTTTAATTTAGAATTATGTATCTACAATGTTTTTATTCAAAAAAATTATTCATTATCAATAAATTAAATAAGAGAAATAATTTCATTAGTTATATTGTCTTTATTTTTCTCCAATATAAAAATTATTTACATTCAAATTCATCAATTGATTATATTCGCTACATTGTCCCTACAATGTCTTTATTAAAAAAATTATTCATTATCAATAAATTAATTAAGAGAAATAATTTTATTATATTATATTGTCTTTATTTTTCTCCAATGTAAAAATTCTTTACATTCAAATTCATCAATTGATTATATTCACTACATTGTCTATTATCTTTTTTAATGTTATATATTTATTTACCAAGTATTTTATTAATACCATGAAAAAATTAAGAAAAATATAATTAATAAAACCAATCATATTAACTATTTAAGGAATTTGTTGACAAAGAGAGTATTCAAATCACACAACAAATTGAAGTGAGAACTATCTCGTAATGTCCTTGTTTGACAATCAGTAGTTAGCGGTTAATGTTAGCGAATTATATTAGCTGATTTGACCAGCGAATTATATCAACGGTTGGTAAAAAAATATTTAATAAAATTAACTTTTTATATTAACATGTAAAATGACCTAAGGGTATACATATATGTAATAATAATAATAATAATAATAATAATAATAATAATAATAATAATAATAATAATAATAATAATAATAATAATAATAATAATAATAATAATAATAATAATAATAATAATAATTGTTTTAAAAAATAAAAAAAATAAAAAATATAGTTAAGACAATCATATTAACTACTTGAGAGATTTATTTACAAAAAGAGTATTCAAATTACACAACAAATTGAAGTGGAAAACTACCTCGCAATGTCCTTGTTTGACAATCAACAATTAGCTCTTCAATATTAGTATATATTTAAAATTTATGCCCTAATTTTTATTTGTTCTCCCTAATGTCCCGTATTTGGTTTCAACCCTACCTATACAATTATTTAATTGACAATTATAATCAATCTTGACTATATTATTTGCATTTGTAAACTTAAAATTACCTATTTAAATACGCAAATTCAACATTCAATTATTTATGCATGAACAATTCTAATATAATCCTGCCTTGATATACTTTAAAGTACTTATTAAAAAAAACATTGGACATTATCCCAATTGCGCAATGCGCGTAAAAAACTAGTAATCATATACACATGCAACGAAGATATAAGGTTTCAAGAAAAAAACTTACAACTTGGAGTTTTATCCAATCCAAGCACCCTCCTGCTACTCATGGTTGCGTTAATTTTTTTCCGATTGCTTCTGCGTGTACTTTGCTAGATTTTAGAGAATTAGGGTTAGACATGGATTGAGGGAAACTATCTGTAATTAGGGGCGTTGGGTGGTGAAGGACCCCTCCATCTATAACAACAACAACAAGAATAATAATAATAATTGAAATGTCATTTTTACCCTCATTTTTAACAGCCCAAACACTTATTTAACGGAGAGGGAAAGAAATAGCAACTTTTTAAAAACAATTGAGGGGATAAAGTGGTTACCTTAACAACACAAGAGAAAAATGTGTTATAAGTAAACAACTCAGGGAAGAAAGTGTCATTTTCCCTGTACTTTTTTATGATATTTATACAACTTAAAGAGCATTCTCAACAATTGTGGGTTTTGAATAATTTTTGCAAGTATGACTAGGAAAGAGAAGGTGGGAGGGAAGAGAGAGAGAAAGGAAAAAAAAAAAAACAAATCTGACAAAAAAAAGAAAAGAAAAGTTGAAGATCTTAAGATCTTACGCGCCCAGGGGCAGCATGTACCCGCTGCACGGCTGGAAATTAGTATTTTTCCGACCTCATTTCCGACCACCCAAAAATTTGGTCGCAAACGGTGACTTTTTTTAATTTTTTCGACGGAAGTTAAAGTGGTCGGAAAGTGATCGAAATTTCTGACCACTAAGAAAAAATGGTCGAAAATTCTTTGGACAATTTAAATTTTTTGAACTAAATATTTCCGACCACCTTGGTGATCGGTATTTCCCATACAATACCTATTTTAGTTATTATCCATCGTATCCTATTATCCTAATCCTAATATATAAATATCCATTATATATACATATAAGTAATACATACCTATTTTTTTTGAAAGCCACCAAACTTATACTGCATTAGCCATTCCAGGCTCAAGAAAAGAAGGAGGCAAATCCCTCCAGACAGTTCGTACCAGCGTGGTAGTTACATTCTTAGCCATAACATGGGCATCCTGTAACACCTCCCTACCAACATGAATAACAACAGAACTAGTCATAGAAGATAACAAACGATTGCAAGTTAACAAAATTAATAACCAAAATAAGTGCGAAAAGAACATGCATGCTTAAGATTAGACACTAAGACAAGACTGTCGGAGCACACTGAGATCCTCGAGTATCCATTCGCCCTGAGCCATGATAACGCCTCACACATAGCCATTGCTTCCGCCAAGAGGGGGTCATTAGGGCAATTAAGGGGGCCATTTCCTGCTGCCACAAAAGTTCCATCCAACTCATGCACTACAAAACCATATGCCGGCACCCGTGTCGGCCCATTGAAGCCAGCATCTACATGACAGACCACACCTTCATTCAACAAAGTAACCGAACTAGGACCATCATTGGCTCTGCGTGTGGTACCCCTTTGGTGTTCCGTTATATACATACCTATTTTAGTTAGGCACAAGTGTCAAATAGGCCCAGCTACTACTGCGAAGTGCTCAATTTCCACCACGAACTAAATTAAGTGTCAAATAGGTTTATCTACGAGTTAAATTTGTTTAATTAGCTTTTTTTACAGGTTAATAACATGTTACCTATTTAATTATTAAAATAAATAAATAAATAAATAAATAATATAAAAAATATTTAAAAAAGAAATAAAGAATACAGCCACCGGCTGTCATTGCCGGCTGCGGACAGCCGGTGGCTGTATTCTTTTTTTTTTTTTATTATTATTAAATAATTTTTAAATAATTTTGAAATTATTTTTTTAATAATTGAATTGGTAACCTGCAAAAAAGAGTCAATTACCTACAAAAAAAAGTTAATTGAACAAATTTAATAGGTAAGTGTGGTTAATTAGCCTTTAATTTAGTTCATGGAGAGAATTGAACACTTGACAATAATATATGGGTCTATTTGACACTTCTCCCTTTTAGTTATTATCCAACCTAATATATAAATATCCATTATATATACTGAGCATATATTTAATATTTTCTTAACCCAATTCAACCCGACAGTTCGCCACCTTTGCGCCGCTGAAGCCCTAGATCGTCTACGAATTTGAAGCCCTCGATCGGCTTATCCTCCCTACCTCTTCTCCTCAATCGACTACGCAGCTGCGAACCTTCTCCTCGATCAACGACGTAGCTGTGATATAAACCTTTACCCCGCTCATCTCCGCCGTCTCAAACACTCGTTGGCATATTGTTCTGCAGAGAAAATTTGTATGAGGAGAGGAATGCAATGAAAGAAAACTTGCTGCATTGATCGTTTCTAAGGTAAACGCTATTATGCCTTCATTAGTTTCTCATCTATTGTTAGAGTTCAGGGACTTAGGGTTCTTTATTTCTAATTTATTGTTATTACTATCATCATCGAGGTATACAAGAGCAAATCTCCTGAACTGATTCGAGCTTGGCCTTCAATTTGAATTGGGGAAAATGACTTCTTTTAGATCTATCATGCATCAGGCAGGTAAGCAGGTTATCTACTATAGTGTATCCAGAAAATAGTATACAGTATGTATGACTTTCTACTTGTATTGACAGTTACATTTATTTTTTTGTATTTACTTTTCTGGAGTGAAATTTACTTTACCAGTTAAGTTGTGTTTGTAGTTTATACTTAAGGAATGGTTTGCACTTGATTAGTCCTTTGGTGTCTACGAAGACTGAAAGAGAAAGAAAATATGAGAGTTTGCTTGACATGGAATACCTTTTCTGCTTCTCTTTTTTAGTAAACAAGCAAAGATGGTTAAAGGTTTTCCATGGATATATAAACAGTCAAATGTTACTGGTTTTCCACACATAACATTTAAATTAATTAACTACCTTGAGTAATCACTTTGCATCTCATTCTTATATGTTTGATGAGAAAATCAACTTCCACAAGTTCTGCTTGTTTACTGAAACCAATTTGACATTTTTCACATTTTTCATTACATAGTATTAAATTACCAACTTTCCATTGAGCCGGATGGTTTTGAACTTTCTGATTGTTATTCTTTCATAAGCATTAAGCAGAGCTTTATAATAGCATCAAATATAATCTTATGTTGAAAACTTAAAGGGTGGTTTACACACACACCCCTATCTTCAAGGTTATCCACCATTATTTTTGTCTTTCTGAAGAATGAATGATATTGTCTTGGAATAACTAGATCACATCTTAAGACAACCAGGCATATAGCAGCAATTGGTTTCTTATATGCTCTGTTTCTTTGACTCTTGTTTTTTCTATAAAATTTTACTAATAGATTTAATCTTCAGGGAGGCAAGATCCTGACAGGAGGTTCGGTTATACCATCTGAAGGGAACTTTGTGCAGCCAACAATAGTAGCACTGCTGGAAATTATCCTTTTTTCTGACCACTTTTTTGACCACTCATAAAAGTGGTCGCAAAAAGTGAAATTATTTTAATTTTTCATCGAAAGATTGGGCTGGACAGACAAAGGTTGGAATTTCCGACCACCTTCTAATTGGTGGTCGGAAATTCTCTTTTTTTTTTAAAAAAAGAATTTATTTATTGTATCTATTGCTAAGATTAGACTTTGAGACTTGAGACTTAACCCTCATTTCATTTCATTTCCGCCGCTCATCTATTCTCACTCCTCACCTACAAAAGCTCTCGCATCTTTGTCTCTCACCATCGCCGCTCAGCTCCGTTCATCGCTCAGTCTTCTCCGTCTGCGCCTCTCTACCCGTGGCTCGTCATCGACATACTATACGGAAGATATTCCTTCTCGTTCTCTCCCTCATGGTAAGTGTTCTATGTTCATATTCGTTCTCTCCCTCAAATCAATCTTATTTGCGGATTTAGTGCTTCTATGAATCTTTTCCTATCTATTCCTATTTGAATCTTTGCTTGTGAATTTTGCAGGATCAGAAGCCAAATTCTTCGTTTACTCGTAGGGCGTCAGTGAACTATACAAAGACACCTTCTCGCGAATCTTTGTATAACAAGGTTTGTTTCTAGTTTAAAGCCTGGATGTTGTAATTCATGTTTAATTTTGTCCAAAATCTTCACTGAGTTTACAGTTCTTCTGCTTCTTCCTACTTTAGTTTTGCTTGGTCAGTAGTTTAGGGTTGGTTGGTTGTAGGGTTCGGTGGTCTGTTGCTTGTATGTTAATTTTACATAGTAGTTGCTTCCACAGCTTTGAAATTAGTTATTTAGCTATCTTATTTGTGTTTTGTTTAATCAAATTTCTGGTTTGTGAGGTCTGAAGCAGCATTTCTTGGCTAGAATACTGGCATCTCCTTTAGGTCACCTAATTTTTAAAAGCTTTTGAGAGGAAAGTCGAAGTATAAATGTGCAAACAGAGGCTTATTGTCATTATTGATTTATTAGTTAACCAGTACTATGAGGAGACATAGGAGCTAGATAACCCTTGTGTTCTGATTTTGATTCCGACTCAATTTGAACTGAATTGTGGTTATCTATGATCTAGTAATTTTTTTCCTTTTCTTGTAATTCAAAAAATTTACTGAATTATTTGGTTTTACAGAGGTAAAAATGTAAAATAGGTCACTTCTCGACTTCCGCAGATCAAATTTCTGTTGTCCAGCAACACAAACAGAAGACAGAAGACATGGAAAGATGAAGAACAGAACCAGCTAATTAAAGAATGTTGTACAGAGCCAGAAGAAACTGAGTAACTCCAAGTTATTTTTTTGAGATGAATCTGTTATTTTTTTTAGATGAACAAGTTAGCAGATTTTTATGATGTGCTTTAGTTTTAGCAGCATTTACGAGTCTTAATGATGTGCTTTAGTTTTGTTTCTTTGACATGACTCTTATGGTAGTTCTTATTGCATTCTAGGTGAATCCCCCCTTCTACCTCAGTGCCTCTGATGTTGATAATTTAAACAATCCATTGGCTGTAGACAATAATCCTCAGCTAAAGGTGAGTGTTCAGTCTTTCTGAGATTGTCTGCTTCACATTCTGATATTATTTTACAGCAAGTAGCTTACAAAGAGAATCTGAGATTGTTTGCTTCACATTTTGGAAAATGAAATGGAGGGCTAAATGAGAATTTGAGATTGTCCGCCTCAGTCCCTCTGCCCCTTGATCCTTGAGTTTGTTTATGTCCTTGGATTCAGTAAGTAATTGAAATCCTTGCAGCCTTGTAACCCAGCTGTTGGTGGGCTTGCAAAGTCCCAGCTCGTACCTGAAGTGGACGCATTAGGTGGTGAAATTGGAAAGGTAGCTGACAGGTAAATCCCAACTAAGAAATTATGTTATAATGCTTAAGGGTGCAAAGGCTGAAGTATATTAGCCTTCCTGCTGCAACAGAGGCCAAGATGTACTCCCATGAACTTAATGGGAGGTTTTTTGAATGCGGACTTTCATTTGTGTTAGGGAAATATGTCAGCTCATTATACAACAAGATGAGTTTTACGAGGCAAAAAAAAACCATCTAAATTATGGCTGTGTACTCATCAAGGTGGTAAAATTTTATCCAGCTATTCCATAAAGATTTGAGTTTTTTTTTTTCAATAATTCATTCTTGCTTAAAGAAAATGCTGCATATTTTTCTTGCTCTTCCACAGCTTTGGATTTCTTTTTCTTGCTCTTCTTTGTGGAAACTTGGCTGGGTGCTGTATCAACATCCATAGACTCATCTGCATCTCCAGTAGAGGTAAGAACAGTGATACAGTATTCATATTATTAACACAATTTGAGAATATAGAATTATTCAAATTTTAAAATATTATTAAATTAATGTTTATTATTTTCTATCTATTGTTTCAGATTGATACCAAACTGAAATAGTTGTTTTATATGGGCTAATATACCGGAACAATTGCAAATGGATGTACAACCGATTGATGCCAAGAAAGAGGGGGTACACTGATGAGTTCTTAGCAGGTATTTTTAAAGATATTTTCTTAATCAGACTAAAGAGCAAGATCAAGGATCTGGAGTCAGAAAATGAGCTTCTCCTCGCTCAAAGAGTAGTTGTAGAGCATGTAGCAAACTCAGGCCAAGCAGATTCAGCATTAAAGGTACAACATGCCGATATTTATTTCTTTCTGAGTAGTGTTGGATGTAAAACTTCTATACAACTCACTGTCTCTCAATGACTAGCAAATTGAAAACAGATGCCAAGTTCATGAAGATGTGAAGACAGAGGAAGTGCAACAAGTGACAAAAGTTGAGCAACAAATAATAAAGGTACATTAAACTTCCAAGTGATAGTTTCCATGGAAGGAGAGCTACTGCTATCGTATTTTACTGTTTACTTATAATAATGAGGAAATCTGTGACTGTCTGCATGATTCCTATCCTCCCATCTCTTTAACAAAACAAAGATCACTGACAGAGGCAGCAGGCAAGTAGTAGAAACATATGAGAAGAAGAAAGAAGAAAGTAGCACAAAAGATATCTAAGGTAAGCTGCTTTCATTTGACCTTGATAATAGTCCTTTAATTTGAGCTTTTGTTGTCCAAGAATTTAATAGTTGTTAGCCATTTATGGTTTAGAACTTTATATAGATGCTTATAACTCATTTGTAGTAACACTTAAGAATAGACCAATAGTTAACAATTTATTAATTTATTCTCCTGAAATTAGTATTTTTAAATTTGGGTAAAAGATAAAGCTTTGTTATGTCTGAATGAGTTGGTTGATTCCATGTGTTTAACAAATGAGGCAATGATGTTGAACTGCATTACTCTATTTAAGAGAGCTCTAACCATCCCTGGTTAATTTTTTTAAAATAGAGCGCAATTCAAAATCTGAGATGAAACATGATAAAGCTAGCTTGTTTATATATTTTTGCTTCTTTCAGCTGCCTAATAGTGAAAATGCCTAATCTTCAGAAGGACAATGGACACTGATGATGGAACAGGCTACTTTCATACTGCAAATGTGTCCTGGGAACTTGTGTCTTTCGTGTCTATACATTTAGAATTAAGAGACTAATAGAAATGTCATATTTTGACTTGTTTTAATTTTCAATTGTATATCGATGAAATGAATTTTCTTCAAGCATATGAAATGTGTATTTTATATTTTTCAGCAAATATCTTATCAGCTTGCAACAATATATATATATATATATATATATATATATATATATATATATATATATATATATATATTTCATTTCATTACAGAGGATTCCTCTCCTCTGTAGTGAAATGAAACTGCGTCCAGTTTTCCGACCACCGAAGTGGTCAAAATTTTCAACCACCGGTGGTCGGAAAATTTGGATCCGCCTAACTATTCTCTTGGCCATTTTTTCCTACGGTTTTCCGACCACTCTATCTGGTGGTTGGAAATAGCTAGGGGGATTTTTTTGGATACCCAAATTGGTCGGAAAAGTGGTCGGAACAGGCGTTTTTGACCTAATTAAGGCCATTTCCGACCACTTTTCGGTGGTCGGAAAATGGCAAATTTCCAACAGTGCTGGGCGCTCAAGTTGCGCTAAATATGCGGTTGTTTCACAGCTTTTTCTCTATGCAAGTCTCACATTTTTAGACCAAAAACCTTTCTATACGCATTTCATTTTTCTCTCTTATTTCACATCATTCTTGTTTTCTCAAAAATCTCACGAAAAACTCACGGGTGGGTATGCTTTAACATTTTTCTTATGTAATAAATGACACATTTCATTTGAATATGAGTATATGACCAACCAACTGCCAATACGAAACTTTAAAGTTTCTAATAAATGTTACGCTGTCAGTTTTTAATAATAGGGCTTTTGAGTTTTGAGCATAAGTTGAGAAAATGATAAACCAATTTTGATTTTTTTTTTGAGTTAATTTCATTTCTAGTCCTAAATTTATAAGCAGTAGTTCATTTTAATCATTTTTCAAAACGTGATCATTTGGTCATAATATTATTATGATGTGATTATTTTTTTTTGTCCTCTGTCAATAAAATGGCCAAAATGTCTTTAATTACAAGGACATTTTGATCTTTTTAATTTTTTTTTAAAAATCATAATTGAAGATCTAAATGTATTTTACAGAATTTAAATTGTTTTGTTGATGGATGATAAAAAATGGTCATGCCAGAATAATAATAGGATCAAAGTGGATATTTTGAAAAAAAATAATTAAAAATGGATTGTCACTTTTTTTTTTTAACGAATGGATTATCACTTATAAATAGCATCCCACCAATGATTTTTGGTGAGGTTTTAAAGAAAACATAGCCTAGATGGATGAGAGAGGGTAAGGAGAGAGAGGTCTCCCTGCAATGCTTTGGTTGTTGGCAGAATTGTGGGACCCACCATGAAAAACCAACAGTCTCCATGATTCGCGTGAAATGGACCTTAGCGCCTAGCCGGGCGCGTTAAAAAAGCTTTTCTTTGTTTTTTTTTTTCAATTTCGTTTTGTTTTTTATTTTTCTTTTTTCCCTTTCCTCTTTTTTTTTTTTTTTTCCTAATTATACCTGCAAAAACTCCTAAAAAAATTACAACCGTTGAAGAACCAAAAATGAAATTAACTCAATTTTTGTTTTCATTAGTCCCATTTCAATAGTGGTTGGCTCAATAGCTCTAAACGAAGAATGTCCATATTTGGTAGCACCGTACCTTGATTACTCTTGAGAGGAAAGGCTTTGGTAGGAATGGTGATAGCGGATGGACTCTTGGTATTCTGCCAACCAGACATGAGTAAATGAATGAACAGGAAGGAAGAGCTCAACAGGCACACATGCACCTAGAATACATTAATGGTTCTTTTTGAAATCTGTTGTTATTTCATTTACTATGTTCTGCTCATTAATTAATCTTCTATGTAATCTCTATTTAAAGTCTTTGGCTGGCCAAAACAAAGGAGGAATTGGTACCCAGAATTTTATTGCTTAATGCAAGTGCTCTTTTCTGTTAACATTCGGAGTATCGTTTCCTCGTCCTGCATCAGTTGGTATTCAGAGCCAAGTTCCTAGGCGACAACCGAGATAGCGGCACGACCCTCTCCACTTGTCTCGACCCAATATGGCACACGACGGTATCAACAACGATGGAAACAATCCACCCACCGGCGGTGACCGTGGTGTAGACGCCCTTTGGGCAGCGTTACAAACGCAGACTGACAACCATAACAGGGATTTTCAAGAAATTCGAAACATCCTTGCTAACATTAGCCTTCGACTTGACGGACGCGGAGCACTTCCTGCCATCAACCATAGAAGACAACAATATGCTAGAATGATGCCGCAAGTCAATCCACCTCATGGGAATATGAGCAGTAGTGATTCTGAAGAAGAAGAAGAAGAAACACCCCTTGCTTATGGCCAACAACAGTACCGACCAAAAGTGGATTTACCCTGTTTTGATGGAAATCTTGATGTTGAAGCTTTCCTCGATTGGATTTATGAAGTTGGAAAATGTTTTGAGATGCTAGAAGTTCCTGAAGATCGTCAAGCTAAATATGTGGCTCATAAGTTGAAAGGTGGAGCTGCTGCTTGGTGGGAGATGACCCAAAATAACAGACGAAGGCAAGGTAAAATGGTTATCAGTTCCTGGAGAAAGATGAAGAAACTTATGATGGCAAGGTTCTTGCCCCCTGATTACCAGCAACAACTATTCCAAAAGTATCAAAGGTGTTCACAGGGCGCTCGTAGCGTGAATGAGTATACTGAGGAATTTTACAGATTGGGTGCTCGTTGTAATTTGTCTGAAACTCCGGAACAACAAACGGCACGTTATATTGAAGGGCTGAGATTTAACATCCGGGAAAGGATGACTCTTTCACCTATTTGGTCAGTTGATGAGGCGTTCAACATGGCCATTAAAGCAGAAACACTTCTCACACAATCAAGCCAACGCAGACAATATACTCCAACTCTTCCTAAGACCACATCAACAATTCCACCCCAAAACTCCACTACCCACCAACCTATTACCCAACACACACAAACAAATGAGTCTGGCCATTCGAAAACACAACGTCAAAGACAGGAAGGAAACTCCCAACCACAAAACACAACATCAAATCCATATGCTAAACCCTTTGTTGGAAAGTGTTTTAGGTGTGGTGAAAATGGTCATCGATCAAATGAGTGTAGGGCTCGGAGGTCTGTTAACTTGATAGAAGAAAATACAGGGGAGGAGAGTGAAGAATTCCATGAAGAAGATGTTGAGGTAGCAGAAGAGGTTGGTGAGCATTTGAGTTTTGTAGTACAACGACTCCTATATACTGCAGAAGATAAGAACCATGTTCAGCGTAATCACATTTTTCGGGCTTACTGTAGCATACTTGGCAAGGTATGCAAGCTCATTATTGACAATGGTAGCTGTGACAATATTGTCTCTAAAGCTTTGGTGCAACACCTCAACATCCCCACCAAGCCACATCCGAAACCATATAAATTGGGTTGGATCAAAGATGGTCCTTCAGTAACAGTTTCAGAAGTTTGCCTTGTCCCAGTATCTATTGGTAAGAGTTATGAAGACGTAGTAGCCTGCGAGGTGATTGAGATGGATGCATGTCACATCCTTCTTGGGAGACCTTGGCAATTTGATGTTGATGCTACCCATCATGGGAGGGATAATACTTACTCATTCGTTTGGAAAAGTAAGAAAATTATTATACCTCCAACACCTTGGGCTGAACTGAAGAAACACAATACATGTGCCATTACTATCAGTAATAGCTGGAAAGAGTTCATAATAGATTCTCAAGACTACAGAACTATATTCTTGCTTTTGACAACGGAGGTAAGCTTAAATTCTGAACTTATACCGAAAGAGCTTCAGGTTTTGTTAGATGAATTTTCAGATGTTGCTCCCGAAGACCTCCCTGATGACTTACCACCTTTACGAGACATTCAACACCAAATAGATCTAATCCCTGGAGCTAGCCTGCCGAACCTCCCACATTACCGAATGAACCCCACAGAAAATGAAGCATTGAATGAAATAGTTGCAGGGCTATTAAAGAAAGGACTCATCCAGGAAAGTACAAGTCCATGTGCCGTGCCTGCATTGCTCACACCTAAGAAGGATGGTAGTTTGAGGATGTGTGTTGATAGTCGGGCTATCAATAAAATCACAGTGAGGTACAGATTTCCAATCCCACGACTTGAAGATATGTTTGACCAACTTCATGGTGCTACAGTGTTCTCAAAAATTGATTTAAGAAGCGGTTATCACCAAGTGCGCATCAAGCCTGGAGATGAGTGGAAAACGATGTTCAAAACCCGTGATGGTCTTTACGAATGGCTAGTCATGCCGTTTGGATTGTCCAATGCACCAAGCACATTCATGCGAGTTATAAATCAAGTCCTAAGACCTTTCATTGGAAAATTTGTCGTCGTTTATTTCGACGATATTTTAATCTATAGTCAAGGGCGTGAAGAACATGAAGACCACTTAAGGGCAATTCTACAAACCTTGCGAGAACAAAAATTGTACATCAATATGAAGAAATGTTCTTTCATGAAGCCAAAATTGGTTTTTCTTGGGTTTGTGATTAGTGTCAAAGGAGTTCATGTGGATGACGAGAAGGTTCGTGCTATACGAGAATGGCCGAGCCCGCGAACAGTGGGAGAGGTCCGAAACTTCCTTGGCCTAGCATCCTTTTATAGGCGATTCATAAGAAATTATAGCACTATTGCCGCTCCGCTCACCGATTGCCTAAGGAAAGGAGGATTTCATTGGGGAGAAGTAGCTGAGAAGAGTTTCAATGAACTCAAGGATAAGCTCACAACCGCACCAATTTTAGCCTTGCCAGATTTTTCAAAACTTTTTGAAGTAGAATGCGATGCCAGTGGGGTAGGCATTGGGGCTGTGTTGTCACAAGAACAAAGACCCATTGCATTTTTCAGTGAGCGATTGAGTGCAGCACGAGAAAAATGGTCTACATACGAGCAAGAGCTATACGCGGTAATTCGAGCTCTACAAACTTGGTCACACTATTTGATGGGTCAAGATTTTATTATTTATACCGACCATGAAGCCTTGAAATATTTTAGGAATCAAAAGCATTTGAATAAATTGCATGCTCGTTGGGCATCTTATCTGGAGCAATTTTCTTTCCTCCTGAAACACAAGTCAGGCTCCACTAATCATGTAGCAGATGCCCTTAGTCGGAGGAGGAGTCTACTAATCACTATGCAAGGAGAGGTAATTGGATTTGAGGTGTTAAAAGAGCAATATGAAGATGACGAGGATTTCGGTCTTATTTGGAGGAAGGTCAAACTACATGAGCCATCACAAGATTTTTATATGGCAGATGGATACCTTTTTAAGGGTAATCGACTTTGTATTCCAAGAACATCTCTGCGCGAGAAACTAATCCGAGATCTTCATGCTGGGGGATTAGGAGGACATTTTGGAAGGGATAAAACCATTGCCTCCGTTGAAGAACGATATTACTGGCCTCAACTGAAAAGAGACGTATGGACCATTGTGAAAAGGTGCTCTGCTTGTCAATCTTCAAAAGGTCATACGCAGAATACAGGATTGTACATGCCATTGCCAACTCCAGAAGATATTTGGGAGGATTTATCAATGGATTTTGTCATCGGATTACCTAGAACACAACGAGGTGTGGATTCAGTGTTCGTGGTGGTTGACCGATTCTCGAAAATGGCACATTTTATTCCCTGTCGAAAGACTTCTGATGCCATCCATATTGCTCGCCTATTCTTTCAAGAGGTAGTAAGACTGCATGGCGTTCCACGCTCTATCACATCCGATCGAGACTCCAAGTTCTTATCCCATTTTTGGACTGCTCTATGGAAGCGACTTGATGCTAGCTTAAAATACAGCAGCTCTGGCCACCCACAAACAGATGGTCAGACCGAAGTTACCAATCGCACACTTGGGAATTTAGTCCGTTGCATTTGTAATGGGAGTATTAAACAGTGGGACTTTGCCTTGTCACAGGCTGAGTTTGCATATAACAGCTCTCTTCATGTTTCTATTGGACGATCACCATTTTCTGTTGTGTATAGAAAAACACCAAGACATGCTGTTGATCTCCTTCGTCTTCCACCTACGGCTAAACAACACAAGGTGGTAGATTCCATGGTGGAACAGGTGCAGAATGTGCAACAAGAGGTTATGGCCCGACTTGAAGCTTCCAATGCCAAATACAAAGCTGTTGCTGATAAAAAAAGAAGACAACAACTCTTCCAGGTTGGTGAAGAAGTTATGATATTTCTCCGAAAGGAACGTATGCCCACGGGAAATTTCAATAAGCTTACTCCAAAGAAGCATGGCCCATACAAAATCCTTCGGAAAATCAATGACAATGCGTATATAGTTGATATCCCAGATGAATGGAAAATCTCCAAAACATTTAATGTTGCGGATATATTCAAATACCATCCCGATTCTGAACCGCTATATCCAGATCGTTCGAACTCGAGGTCGAGTTCTTCTCAAGTGGGAGAGACTGATATCGGATGGACTCTTGGTATTCTGCCAACCAGACATGAGTAAATGAATGAACAGGAAGGAAGAGCTCAACAGGCACACATGCACCTAGAATACATTAATGGTTCTTTTTGAAATCTGTTGTTATTTCATTTACTATGTTCTGCTCATTAATTAATCTTCTATGTAATCTCTATTTAAAGTCTTTGGCTGGCCAAGGCAAAGGAGGAACTAGTACCCAGAATTTTATTGCTTAATGCAAGTGCTCTTTTCTGTTAACATTCAGAGTATCGTTTCCTCGTCCTGCATCAAATGGTCTCTAGAAATTTGAAACCCCCCAATTCCTTGCCCAAATTGCTTTGCCAACCATATAAGTGAGTGATATAACATCTTCATGACTCCTAGGCTTAGATGTTCTTACAAAACACCTAATACCCTTCTTAATCCTGCATACATAATTAATAAATAATGATCAAGAAAGGTAAGGATGCTATTGTAACATCAAAATTTTCATTCATTCATACTTGTTTGTGAATTCCTCCACACTGCCCACTTATTTAAGAGTTCTAAACTCCTCATCTACTGATACATAACTTGTCCCAAATCTTCTCAGCAAACATTGCATTTGCTTCTTTCAGAAGGAGCACTTTCGACAATAGTTGACTGAAAAATAAGACGACAGAACTAAATGTAATACAAATTACATAGTCATGAATCTAATTATAAAATTTTAATTGCTAAGGACCAAATGTTATTCATGCATGTATAATAGTTAGGTGATCAATTTTTTTTCTCTTGTGCTTAATTATATTTTCGAATTTGATAATTTTATCCAATTGAATTCTCGACGGTTAGAATCAAGGACTAAATCGAGAAAAATCAATATAGTTGAAAATTAAATTAGGTATAATCACTATATTCGAAGATTAACTTAAATAAAACTACTATAGTTGATGACTAAATTAAGTATTAATAGAGGTGAAATTACTAATCTCAATATAAATACTCAATTGAGTAAAACTATCAAAGTAGATGATTTAATTAAGTAAAAAAATAGTTTAAGATTAAATCGAAAAAAATGGAACTAAATTTGGTATTACATTGGGATTAACTCTAGAAAGTCTGTTCGAAGCTGGTTAACACTTGGCGTAAAGATCTGTTTGGATCCGACTCCATCAAAGAGTCTACTCATCACAGCTCTCGGTATCAACAGACCAAATAACGAAACGAAGTGGAAATCTCGAGAAAACGTCGCAAGGAAATGAGGCCAAACATTGTCTCTGAGGTATCATCCATGCTTCCTTTGCCTGTATCTTTGTTTATCTCTGCGTAGATTTCTTCATAAACATACAAAATTCTAGTTATGTGTATATGTATATGGAATGTTTGTCTTGGGGGTGGGGGGGTGGGGGTTGAACGTAGTTGAAACCCTAATTTTAGACTGCCCTAATGTGGTTTCTTGTTGAAATCTACGGGCAATATGGACTACGGTGATGGTTGAGAGTTTGAGTTGGTAACAGCCATTCCGCATTTGATATAAGCTTGGAATGAGAGTTTCGAGTACTTGTTTGATTAAATTGATACGAACCAGATCACAGTGCCTTCATGTTTGTTGAGGTGGTGAGGATAATGATAAGATAAATGTGTATTTACTGAAGTGGTTGGTCCCAGATTATCTCCAATTCATCTTGTCCTTTCAAGTTTTGGAGGAAAGACATTAGACATGATTGTTATGCTAGATATTACTCGGTATGAGGAATCTCTTATTGCTCTAATATTCTTCATGGGAAAGCTCATGGTTTACTTCTAATTGTTTTTAGGCTAAAGTGTCATCCCGCACCATGAACTATAACGAATTCTTCATGCCGCACCCTAATCTTTCATAAGTGATGTTTAGAACCACAAACCATTAATTTTTTTCCATCTAGCATTTTTTACAGGTTTCTTATAGGTTACCGGTAATAATATGCTGACATGGAATTTATAATTATTATTTCTTATTTTTCTTTTTTTCGCCTTCTATTTCGTATATCAGCTTCTTCATTTTTTCCTATAATCCAACGCCATTTGGTTGAATGTCCTCTCTCACAACCCTTGCCCTCACCAGAAACTCTAACAGTGTCATTTCTCCCCGCGTAGATTGTCTCTGCCCAAAGTTTGACACCCTACCACCATTATCATCATTCTTGGAGCCGCCGATCTCTTTATGAAAATGTATCCACACTCCTTGATAGTTGTTATTGCCTCCGCCAGTTATTGCCCATTAACGTGATTCTTGCTCTTCAATCCTTACTCTAGGTAGTTAATCAATTTGCCGAAATAGAGCCCGTCATTGTTATTGCTTTCATGGCCGCATTGCCTCCCTGGTTTGCCAAATACATGGAACCTTCTCTTTTACACTGCTCTATTTAATTAATCAATACATATATAGGACATTTATATATATAGACCGATCACCACAAAATCTTAGGTCGTCGTTAAGATTCTTTGTTCAAGGAAATGAAATTGTTGGATTGGTAAATAATGTGAACTAACGGAGATCACACTGCAATTTTAAAGCCACAGGTCCACATGAACTGTTTCCGGGCATGACGTACTGCATGAGAGGTTGCCTGGGTTCATGAAATTGGTCTCGTCGGGAATTGGAAAGCCACACCCAAAATTTTAGCTTACTCATGCTCTCTGGAACTCCCCCACCGCAACACGTGGTGTTTCTAGAATCTAGAGACCAGTCCTCTATCCACATCTCAATCTTCGCTGTGTATATCGCCATTGCCACCCAATTTATACCCCTTATTCCTTTCTTTCTATCACCAGATTCAATCAAATACGATTAAAAAAAAAAGAGAGAGAAGAAGAGGAAGAAGAAGAATTTGTTAGTGTCGTGCAATAATGGCTTCCGAGCATATGAGAAGAGACAACAAGACGGTCGAACTTGAAAAGAATAGAGTCCCCAAAATGGTCAGCCACTTCGAGTCCCTGGCGGAGAAAGTCGCCGATGACACTGCTGCGGATTTCTATACCGCCGCCGTGCGTGTTACCGAAACGACTGTCGCACTACTGACCATGGAGATCAAGGCAAAACCGCACGAAAAAGGGAAGCAGCTCGCAACGCGCAGAAAGGAGGGAGGGCGCACGACCAACAAACCCGCGACATCGCCTCTCAGAGTGAACACAATCAAGCCAAGCCTTGGAAAGCAACCGAAAAAACCCAGGATGATATTGCACCTGATTGTTGTTGTTATTCACCGGCGGTGCCTGATACTTCAAAGACTCTATCGCCATTTCCTCCCTCTCTTATGCTGGTTCGTAGGATTTTATTATTATATTTAAATTTAAATTTGGGAAGATTGACCTAAAAATAAAGTCAACATCAGCATATTACCGGTGCCACATCATTTTCAAACTGGGAAACCTTTAAAAAATGTTAGATGGAAAAAAGTTAATGATTGGTGGTTCTAAAAATCACTTATGAAAGATCAGTGTGCGGCATGAAAAATCTGTTATAGTTCATGGTGCGGGATGACACTTTAGCCTTGTTTTTATATTCCCTTCGAAATGCTTTGTGGCTGTAAATTCGAAGTGCAGTTATATCGAATGTTACAAATGGTAGTTAATGGATTAAAATATTGTTATTCTGCAATTGATAGCGTCTGTATGAGTTTTTGACATCCACGAATTAATGAGGTAAGTTACATAGGGAACCGTGATTGTTACACAAGGTCTATGTTGACGTAGGGAGCCATGAATATTGATCCCATACTCTTCATAATCTGTAATTTATTTTAATTCCTTTTGTTTTAGTTTTGATTTTTGAACCATAACACCATCTTTGTAGGCTTCGCTACAAACAAGGTTGGGCAGTTGGTGGGAAGGCATTCCATTCTTTACATCTACTGTTATTATTGCTTGTGGGGTTGTTTACTTGGTTTGCCTTTTGGTCGGGTACGATTCATTTGCTGAAGTATGCTTCTTGCCATTAGAAGTAATTTCGCATTTTCAAGGTATATTTTCATTTATATCTGTTCATATATGCAATATTCTTGTTAAGAATAAGCTCTTCTTTTGATACAACTATACAAGAATCTATGATCTAGCTCACAACTATGTTTTTTGGATGTATATAAGAGAACTTATTACTTTTGAAATGATAATAATATCAGATCTTAACCCTAAAATTACAAGGGCAAAGCATAAAATGGTCACTTGCTGGAGATGATCTGACCATTCACTCTCTAAGAATGTAACCCTAGCCCATACTTCGTCAATAGAAACTTGCAGAAATTTCTCGAATTATGAGTTAGTGGCATCTAGATAAGAACAACAAGGAGGAGTAAGCAGAGGAAAAAGTGAAGCAAATATCAAAGGTGTATGATGTGCTCAGCAACACTTAGAAGTTGCAGATCTACAATCTGTATGGTGAGGAGGTTTTGAAGTCCGGCCAATTTGATCCAGTGTCTCCGATTGGTGTGAGCAGTGGTCGCAGAAGTGGATTTAAGCATGAGCTTTGTGATGCGGAGAATATATTTGCCAAGTTTCAGTATATTTTTTGGAGTATATAGCTGTAATCTTGCTGATGATGGTGGTGTGGTGATAGAGGAGCGTCGTGGAAGGTGGCACCACTGGAGAACAAGTGCCATGTAGATTGGAGGAGCTGTATAAAGGCTCAAGGCTCCAAAAGGAAGATGAGGATTTCAAGAGTTGTTCTTGATGATGGGTTTAGGCTCCAAAAATAAAATTGAAATCCTTATTCCCCCAAATTGAAGTGGCCATTTTATGTCTTTACCCTTGTAATTTAGGGTTTATAGGGTGGCAGTTGATGGAGTTACCCTTTTGGGGATGCAAAAAGCCACTTTGTGAGAAATTCGAGATTGGAAAATGGTTATGTCGAAAATAGCTATATCATGAAAACATAGAGACTAAAAATGCTATTTTCCCTTTTAAGTTTTATGTGAGTAGCTAACATTACTGCATCTATCCCTTGTTGGGAGCACTGAGGTTAATTGCTAGGTATGGCTATTGATCAAAGCAATGGCTTAGGACATATAAGAGAGTTGGCTAGACAAGAAACTTACATTTATTTATTTACTTATTTTAAAACTTTTCTAAAGGACCCCTTGGTCTAGAATAAAGAGGATGGTGAAATGCTACCTGGAGGTGAAGGGTTGTATTCCTTTTCAGGAGATTTTTAATGGTGGATTCAGGGGAGTGACTTGATGCTAGACAGTATTTACTGAAAGTAATAGTTGCTAGTAAGCTTAGTAATGGATTAAAGATGGGATTTAATGATTTACCTAGTTTTCTAGTCCTTATACTCTGTCCATTATGTGAAGAGTAACTGGAAATTTAAGGTAGATTATGGTGATGAGGATGGTAAGTTTGATTAGGACCTTATTATTTTTCACATGAGCTATTACCATGCTCACGCAAAGTGTCGGAATTAGATCTATCTAAAGGATGATTGGAAGCAACAGTTGAAGAAGTAGGAGGAAGATGAATAATAAATAATCTAGGCATTCATCTCTTGGTCAATGCCATAGATAACACCATTAGGCTTTTCATTCTTCCCCTAATTTCTGAAAGAGTAAGCCAATAAAGAAAGCCAAATTTTGGTTATGGCTTGCCATCACCTCATGAATGTTGGCTTCTTGCGAAGTTTATATTTGTCCCACCTTATGGAAGAGAGTTATGCTGGTGGTTGTTGTTGCTTGGAATTTGGAATTGGTTTGGTTCTCTCACAAAATCTCACATTCTCACTTTGGTGTGAATGGAGTCACCAACAACAACCAATGCTTGCAGTTGAAGCCTACACCATCCATTAGCATTGGACCATCCTTCACTGTCAAACATCAACTTGAATATTGACACACTTTGGAAATGAACAACAATGCTATTTTCCTAGCTGACAAGTCTTAAAATCTAAACTGGAAATACCTGAAAACTTGGGCCCATCTTTTTGTTTTTTGGATATAAAGACCCAAACAATTATTTGAAATGCTGGAGGCTCATTAGATGCAAGTTATTGGCTCATTGGTGAAGAGTAATCAAGATGGTAAAACCCTAACCACTCACACTTGACACCAATCTTTTGTCCCTTGATCTTGCGAAACAATAGAATCGAAAAAAAAAACATTTGTGGAACATTTATGAGCACACATTAGTTTAATAACAAATTCAACATGAGAAGGGTTTCTAAAGCATATAAGATATAATCTAAATTTAAGGACAAGAGAGGCTGCTGATACATGCTTGGGACCAGGATTTTAGGAAGTCTTATTTTATTATATTACATAGTTTAGATATTAATAAATTACTAAATAGTTATTTAGAAATTACTAAATAGTTACTTAACTTATTATTCTTAGTATTCGAATTAATTTAGGTAGTTTAATTATTTAGAAATAAACTAGAAGGTTTCAGCAGATTACTTAGCTTATTTAGCCATTCTATGAGTTGTATTTTACCCTATAAAAAGGGAGTATTATTGAGAATAATGCAAGCAGAAATTGAATCCCAAAAAGGGTCTAAGGGAGTTTTGGGTCTCAAGCAAATCCAGTGTTTTCTTCTCTTTATTTTCCAACTGTTATTCTCTATTCATTTTCCCTTATGCTTTCTTGCCCGTGACGTAAGAACACAACAGGCTGCACTTGATCAATGCTTGTGGCAGATGTTTCTGTAACATTTGTGAGAATAACTGAATGAGTTTGATACTAAATATAATCCTCATAATAAACTCTAGCTAGTATAAGGGATGGACTCAATGGAGAGGAATGACTTTCAAAATTATTAGGTAGAGCAACACTAGTAAAATGTGGTGGTCAACCATGTTAGTAAGTTGTAACGGTGGTCCAAGTGTGGGCCTACTTGTGATAACAATCACATTTTAGGATTACAGGTTGTGAGTTTTTATGCTTCTTGTGCTGTAATTTATAGTAATATGTATAGCACAATGGTCACGTAATGGGCTAAATCTAGGGCTACAATTACGACTAATTGACAGCAATGGTTTACGTAATAGGCTAAATCTAGGGTTCAATTATGACTAATTGACAGCTAATATATCACTTGATGGGGTATTATCTCCCATACGCCCATACTAATACCGTAATAGGCTTGGCGAGTAGGCTAGCTCAAGGAGTTTATTGGGCTTGGGTGCACAATCTAGAATCTTGGGCTTGGTAGCCCAATAAGACCTGCTTGTGGTGCTTTCCTAATCTTGATGGGTCATGCAGACCGTTGAAGTTGTATTAGGATTTAGGAGACTATACTCTAACCCTATTATGATGTAATTAGCTTGGGTGAACAAGGAGTTGTATTATGATATAATAGATTAATAGGGGATCATTGAGCCCAATCTTTGCTGTAGTGTGATTGAATTCTTAGCCCATTCACCCATTGCCTCACATTGACACATTGTACACAACATCATTCTATATTTTACATCAATAAAAGCGTTCTCACTTCTCTCTAGCATTCTTAAGATCTTAAATGGCCTTAAGTTTTAAAGCTTTCAATAATGATCCTGTGAGTCATTTAGTTCACGTTGGGTTGAAGTAATTAATACTAACAAGACTAATTTATTGCATGTCTAATATTCTAACATACGAAATTGGAATTTAAAATTTTTTAGGAGAATAATAGTGGGAGAGAGAAATAAAATAGTACTCCGTAATAGAATAAAATGAAGCTGAAATTGAAAAAAAAGAATATATTTATGAAATACCAAAAATGTCTTAATCGCTCTGTCAAGAAATAAGTTTGAAATAGCACTAGCCTTTAATTGAAACCAATGTTATTTAGGATCAAATTGGAAACTATTACTCCATAAAACATTTACAACCAAATTGAAACATAGCTTAACCTAAAATACTAGAGCATTTTTTATCCTACGAATTTGTACGCTTCATTTATGTTTTTGTTTTGAATAAATCTGATCATTGATTCATGGTCATTGTACTTTTCGTTTTTTGTTATTGGCTGTTTGAAGTTCTTGTATTTTACTTGGACTCAGATTACTTTGTTTTGACAAAACAATGATTACAGGCAGTGTTCTGGGATGTTTGAGTTTCCCACTGAGGATTCCAGATCAGATAACTAGGTTTACACAATCACGTTAGAATTTTTGTCCAGTTTTGATAAATCACTAGTGAGGGTTTCAATAAGTAAAATAAAATTGTGTGCTGTTTTATTCTTTTGCATTTTTGTATTTTGTGCTAAATACCAATACCTTGTATGCTTATGTTTTAGGTGTATTTCAAAGTTTTGCTGCAATATGTACAAATACATTGTTAAACCTTAATGGCTTAACATAGTTGTGTTTTTTCCCTTGCAGTCTACAGGATTTTTACATCTATTATTTTCCATGGCTCTCTACTGCATGTTCTGTTCAATATGTTAGCTTTTGTTCCATTGGGATCTGAGTTAGAGCGCATTATGGGATCAATCCGCCTTTTCTACATAGTAGTTCTGTTAGCTACAAGCAATGCTGTGATCCATCTACTTATAGCACTGATTGTTGCTTATAATCCGTTTCTCTCCTATCCAGAACTAATGCATCAGTGTGCTATAGGCTTCTCTGGGGTTCTGTTCTCAATGATTGTGATAGAGACAAGTCTAAGTGGTATTCAGAGTAGAAGGTTTGTCTTTTACGGTTGTTTGTGCTTTGTGATTCATCTGACACAAATGTCATAATGGTTCTCTGATCTTTTGTATGTTTGGACTCTATTTTGCATAAAACTTGCTATTTAGTGTTTGTCTTTATGGCAATTTATCAAGGTCTGTCTCTTTTGGACTAGTTTTTTAAACAATTACTTTGATTTGTCAAAAGATATCTAGGGTATAGTGTTTTCGGCATTGAATATACAGCCCCCACATATATATGTTCTCCAATTACTTGCATATTTACTAATTAAAGTTTCTTCTTTTTTAACAGTGTATTTGGACTTTTTAATGTGCCTGCTAAATGGTAAGTGAAGCTACTTCCTTAGCAATTATGGAGTAGTTGAATTCTTGCCCTCCTTTTCTATTTTTATGTCTGTTTTAATATTTTAAAATCATTTTAAATCACAGATTTATCTTCTTAACCGGTTTTTAACTGCATTATTGTGTGCACTAGGTATGGATTGATCTTGCTAGTGGTTTTCCAGCTTCTTATGCCAAACGTCTCATTACTTGGACACTTATCCGGTATTTTGTCCGGATTTCTATGTATGTTACTTTTGCCCTTCCCAATCTTTTCTAGGTTCTCAGTACCTCTTACTGTTTATTGTGTTGCTTAATAATTTTCCTGATGTGCTTATGGGATAACCATATTGTTGAACTCTAAAAGGAAGTGTATATATGTATTGCGATAATGAACTCAATAAATAGAGTACAGGAAGCCTATGCTTATATACAAGCTAAAGGGAAACTCCTAACCACTTATTTCAAAATTCAAATGGGTAGTTAGGAGACTTCCTCTAACAACCTACTAACACATATCTTTTTGATCTCCTTGTTGGTGGTAGCAGATACATATGGTTTCTTCAACATTATAATACCAGACACATCTCGCTTTTCAGCAATTGAATCTTCATCATGGCTTGTAAGTAAACTGCCCATCTCCCAGGTGGTTAAGTAAAAAAATTGACTTTATTGTCCTAAACTGGTGCATTGAACTTCTCGACATAACATAACTATATCTTTATAAAAGAAAAAGAATAGGGGAAGGGGTGGTGGGTGGAACTCAGAGAGTTGGAATTAGATTAATTTCCTCATTGAAATTCGTTTTCCCTGAGATAGAGAGGTAGTGGAGGTCCTGCTTGCTGAGTGCATTTTTATCTGCAAACTCGCATATTTAAAATTTTTATTCCCCTCCTTCCTACCTACCCCTTCTTGCTTTTCTTGATGCAGTCAACTTGTGTGCGGAGACCAAAATTTATGATGTGCACTGGCAGTAATGTTTCAGGTCACCTTCCAACATATTCAAGTCAAAATACAACTTCAAGGTGCTCATTTCCTTTTTCCTGAAGTTCCACTGTTATTTCTGTGTGTTTTAAAATTTTCTTTTTTACTATTGGTGTCTAATATTCTTATTCTCTTTAAAAGTGGATTGCTTTCTGGAAATATGTGGAGGAACTTTTCTTCACTGTTGCCACAGAGAGAAAATCCTCCTCAGGTATGAATTTAATTTTCTCAATTTGTTTAGCATGGTGAATGTTGCGTGAAGTTTTTGACAAACTGATTCTAAGTTCCCTAAGTTAATCATTTAAAATACAGTCCATGGAAGGTGATAGTAGATTCCCTGGAGCGGGAAGGACCCTTGGTTCTAACCCAAATCGAGGTTCTTCTATTGGAAATCCTGATTCAAATTTAATGGCTAGGCTGCTGGATGATAACGACAGCCAGAGGCATTTGTCGGGTCCATCAGTAGGTGGACAACAGAAACCAACTGGAAGGTATTAGGAAAAGTGTATTGATAACTGTTATCAATCAGATTCATAGTGTGAAATTGTATTGTATCATCTTTGATCATCACTTGATGATCATGTCTCAGTGCTTGCTTTTTTGGTGAACTTTGGTTGGAAAGATTGATTGTAAGTTTGTGAAACTAAAAGTGGTTTTTTGATGAATATATCTATATAGTTTAAGAAATGGAGAACAGAGATTTAATTTTCGGAAATAAGGAAAGTAAAATTTTCAGCAAACTTGTTTTATATCCTGTAAAGTGGTTATAAATTAAGTGTTAATACATATCATAGTGCTCTTGCTAGTTGGTGAAACTGTTGGTTTTTTCCCAGCTTCTTCTACAAGGCATTATTTTTCTTGCTAGTTTCCTTGTTTCATTGATCTTTTAATAACTTGATATCTGAGTTTCTGCAAGTGTGTTATGATTTAGAAATCATCCATCCCTGTTGCGTTCCAATTTTTCTTGCTTCACATTTCAGACCAGCAGCAGCAGAGAATATTGTAGCTGTTGCAGCAACTACAAGAGAAAATCGTCACGAGGTAGTATGTGGAATCAATTGAATATTTAAAAAAGTAATCTATCCCACATGTTCATTTCTCGGTCGGGCAGAATAGTAACACGTGAGGTATCTTTATACATACCGAACTAGGGCCACGTTCCATTAGATGAAAACATTCAGAAACTTGTTGCAATGGGTTTTGAGAAGGTAGGTATACAAGTGAATCTGATTTGATTGCCCTGTTGTGTTTGCTAGTTTCAAATAATAAATAAATTTTGGGGTTTAAGTGGGTGTGTGAATGAATGTATTGTTTTCAGACACAAGTTGAAGTTGCAGTGGCAGCTGCAGATGGAGATTTAAATGTTGCGGTGGAAATTCTTATGACCCAAAAGGTATGTTTCACTTGCTAATATGTATATATGTATGTATGTATGACCCAAAAGGTATGTTTCACTTGCTAATATGTATATATGTATGTATGTATGTCGCATAGTTTATTATAAGAGAATCTAACAAACAGAATGTATGTATGTATGTTATGCAAATTGGCAGGAATAATTTGGAGACAATCAAATCAGGTAGGTCATCAAGTGAAAGCAAGGCTCTGACCCGCCCCCCCTGCCGTGGGTGTATATGTATATATGCTTTTATTATATCAATCAATGTTGTAAGTACTTAGTAAACCAACCAAACCAACCCAGGCTAGGCTAGGCTAGGCTGAGGCACATTTTTAGGTTGGAATGGAATGTATCACCAAAGCAAACCAAACACACTTTGTGAGCAGCTGATTTCACTTCACATCCCAAATTTGAGTCAATTTTCATCAGCAAAAGCTGAACAAGTGGTTGAGTTGGCGGATAGATAGACTACATAAAAAAGGAGGATGATATCCTATGTGCCACCTTTATCTTCCTCTTTCATATAGCTCCTTCTTTGCGTACTATACTTATAGAATTCTAGTTTAAATAAACGGCCTATCTCTTGCATTTGAAGGGACTGGATCTATCGTGACCCTGTGAACTCGCGATTTAGCAAATAGGCCATGAAGAACGTTTTCTATAAATTGAGATGAGAGATAAGTGGGATGTATGCGAGAGTTAACGGATGACCATTTGATACAGTACGGAAGTTTTTTTTTTTTTTTTTTTTTTTTTTTTTGGGTATGCCGCTCTGCGAGGAAGGATTGCTACGTACGAGCGAAGCAAAAATGGAATTCTTCTATTGGGGATTCTAATGAATGATGAATAAAAGAATTATATTCTATACCATTCTGAAAGGGGGAAATCCTTTGATTGCATATTGAATATAGATCCATGTCTTTCTTGTTCCACTAGCTAGGACCAAATTCTTACATGTTCCCCCCTTTTTTTTTTGGACTATAAACCGTTAATTATAGTTCAAATCAAACTGTTCACTGTTATGAACGGGTTATTAAAATAAAAGTGCTAACAAGCTAGAACCAAGTTTAGTACTTCAAATTCACTTAAGGGTGTATTCAATCACGATTTTTATAATTTTTTAAAGATTTTTATGAATTTTAAGAGTTTGGAGACATTCAATTCAAATATTTAGACAGTCTTTAAAAGTCAGGCGGTAAGTCATGTTGTATTTAAAAAGTCTTCAAGATTTCAAATTTTTTTTTTTTTTTTTGTACCAACTCTGAAGGTTTTCTCTCTCTATTTAAACTCTATTTTTTTCTTCCTATTTAAACCGTATACCTAAATTCATTAAATTATTTTTCTTTCATTATCTTATATTTTCTTCATACTTAAATTCTACCAATTTTTTTCCTCTACTAAACTTTACAATTTTCCTCTAAAAATTTGAAATAATATTACTTTTACTATATTGTTGCTAGTATATTTTGATTTTGATTTTTTTTTTCTACGATTTTGATTGCCAGATCAATAGGTGATCCTCATAGTGTTCGTAGCTTCGAGGAGGTCAATCTCATCTTCCCACAGGCGACCAAGAATCTTTGCTCTCAAAAATCTCTGGTCTTCTTCCTTCTTAGCCAACTATGTTCATCACTTGCTCTAGTTTGATGTGTTCTTTTGTTTGAATGCTCAAACATAGAACTGTAGTATGTTTTATCCTGGGAAACCTAGGCTACAACGTTCCTAACACCTTTCGAAGGTAGCAAATAAGGTTTTAATGAAAGAGTGATTTGCTCGACTTGTACTAACCACCTAGCCAAAAATCCTTTCGCCTTATACTTATTATTTTCCCTAGAAATATTATTTTTCGTACTAATATTTCATTTTTCCGAATAACAATATATGAACACTCTTAACCCCTCAAGTCAAGCATGAAATTGTCTTGGCAATATTCCCCCCTTATGTGAAGTAACATGCACACAGAGATGGTTATTATTACTATTATTTGTTATTTTTGCAGCTTCAACTCATTATCTATGAAATATGTAGTTATGCACATATAACTAATCCCATGTAAAGTGGTTCAAGTATCAATGGTGATACTAAACCCTTTGAGTGGTACTCCTAAAAAAACTTCTTTAAATTCATCATCTCATATGAAAAAAGCTAGTAGATATCTTTACTAACAGACTATCTAGAAGGGATCGAATTTCAAATCTAGAACAGAAAAAACAACAAACTTCTTAAGCTCCTTACCCTCAATAAATCTAAATGGGAGTTCATCGAGTATTACCATTTCTTCTAGTGCTCTCATAATAACCTCTTGATCAAATACTATGCTCCCAACATCGCTTCACTACTATCACTATACACAGGTTGAAATGCGAGAAGTTATTGCTTAGTACCTTAGAGTGTAGATTTTTTAAAAAGTAATTTAACATATGAATATATGATTCTTAAAGACTAAGTCTCATGTTTGATGGACTCACATGCTAACAATTTTGCACAATATAAGTACTTTCATTTAATAACTATCCCCTTATTGTTTTTAGTTTTCTCAAAATGATCCCATATTGGAGCTCTAGTTTCAACCCCCTTTTCAATTATACATTTACACATTGAAGGGTCCTCTGTTATCCATAAACATAAATTCATAATTAAGAAGTTTATAAGTTCTTCATTTATAATGGAAATGCCAAAATTAGGGATCACGAAATCAATTCATTATTACGCATGTAACGAATAAGAACCACCACCTGAAACCCTTTTACCCAACCAAGTTCGCAAATTATGCTATGCAACATGGTGCACACGGTTGCAAAAACGACGTCGTTTTGACTAAAAATGCGCGTCCCCCTTAAAAAATTCAGGTTCGATTCTCGGCAATAGCATATATATATATATATATATATATATATATATATATATATATATATATATATATATATATATATATATATATATATATATATATATAATTCATAACTATATATCCACAAATTCATAACTATATATCCACAATAATTCATAACTATATATCCACAATAATGCTGTTGAGGAGAACCGAAACTGGTTTTTTTTTTTTTTTTTTAAATGGAACGCGCGTTTTTAGTCAAAACGACGTCGTTTTGCAACCGTGTGCACCACGCAAAGTGCACACGGTTGCACAACATAACTATTGAACCAAGTTGGCCAATACTAATAAGGATGTCAATCGGGCAATCCCATTCATTTTTGGGCTAGTCTTATCGGGTTGTCAGGCTAATTAGTTTGTTTGTACTCTTTTTAGGTTGAGTTGACCCTAACCCTAAACCTTGGGTTGTTGGGCTTATTGAGAGAGTTGAACCACATGATTAAAATGGAATAAATGAGAATGGGTACCCGCATTTAGGGGACAGGGATGAATTTTAAAAAAATTCCACCAATGACATTGACAGGTCGAGATTTACTTAATGACATGTAAATGATATAAGCCACCTTGTAAATTCACTAGACGACATGTAAATATGTAATGTTGTCGGTATGGAAGTCAATCGGGCTAGTCTGTTTAGTTTTAGTTTTGAGCTAGTCCTTTCGGGATTCAGGATGTTGGACCTATTGGACAAGTTTAAAATTATTGTCCTTAACCATAAAATCTCGTGTTGTTGGGCTTATCAGGTGGACTCAAATAAAACTGTTAAACATTTTCAAATTAACATTTTAAACTTCCAATTTAAATAAACAAACACATTTGCACTAATAAATATAAACCTATACATCATTCAATATCAATCTAAACTTGTATTTCAAAATTTCAACTAAAAATAATTAATAATTTAATATAATTATACTATAATATAATATTTATAGTAAGTTTTTACTTTTTCATTATTTAATTACATAAAAAATATTTTATTTTATAATATATTTATTAAAATTTTGTTAAAAATCTATACTATATATAAAAATAAAATCCTGAAATTTTAACTTCCCGCCTAATTCCTAAAAAATCTCTCTTCCTAATAAAATATATTAATTTCTACTCTCTCATTCGTACAATAATTCTGCTTTAAAATTCTATTATAATAGTATAAAATAGTGTAATACAATCTATACTATATATAAAAACAAAATCCTGAAATTTTAACTTTCCGCCCAATTCCTAAAAAATAAAATATATTGATTTCTACTTTTCCATTCGTCCCCGGCCCTAAGGGCCCCCCACCTCTGACCCGACAGAGCTTGTTGGAGGATGTAAATCACGGTGACTCAATGGGTTAATAGGCAGGGACAAATGCCGATGCGCACAAGGAATCTGCCCACTCTTTGGACATAATTCCCACACTGCCACCGCCAAGGTTCAAACCTTGGTTTCTTATACCACAAATACTGCCCACTAAACCATTGAGCTACGTCCATGCAGGTGTTAAAATTCTATTCTAATATTATAAAATAGTGTAATACAATCTATACAATATATAAAAACAAAATCCTGAAATTTTAACTTCCCGCCCAATTCCTAAAAAACCTTTCTTCCTAATAAAATATATTGATTTCTACATCCCATTCGTACAATAATTCTGCGTTAAAATTCTACTCTAATATTATAAAATAGTGTAATACAATCTATACTATATATAAAAACAAAATCCTGAAATTTTAACTACTGCCAAATTCCTAAAAAATCTCTCTTCATAATAAAATATATTGATTTCTACTTTCCCATTCGTACAATAATTCTACCTTAAAATTCTATTCTAATATTATAAAATAGTGTAATGCAATCTATAATCTATAATCTAAAATATATATAAAACCAAATCCTGAAAATTTAACTTACCGCCCAATTCCTAAAAAACCTCTCTTCCTAATAAAATATATTGATTTCTACTTTCCAATTCGTACAATAATTCTGCCTTAAAATTCAATTCTTACCCCAAATAAAATAGTGTAATAAAATCTATCTATACTATATATAAAAACAAAATCCTGAAATTTTAACTTCCCGCCCAATTCCTAAAAAATCTCTTTTCCTAATAAAATATATTGATTTCCACTTCCCATTCGTACAATAATTCTGCGTTAAAATTCTATTCTAATATTATAAAATAGTGTAATACAATCTATACAATATATAAAAACAAAATTCTGAAATTTTAACTTCGGGCCCAATTCCTAAAAAACCTCTCTTCCTAATAAAATATATTGATTTCTACTTTCCAATTCGTACAATAATTCTGCCTTAAAATTCAATTCTTACCCCAAATAAAATAGTGTAATAAAATCTATCTATACTATATATAAAAACAAAATCCTGAAATTTTAACTTTCCGCCCAATTCCTAAAAAACCTCTCCTCCTAATAAAATATATTGATTTCTACTTTCCAATTCGTACAATAATTCTGCCTTAAAATTCAATTTTTACCCCAAATAAAATAGTGTAATAAAATCTATCCATACTATATATAAAAACAAAATCCTGAAATTTTAACTTCCCACCCAATTCCCAAAAAACCTCTCTTCCTAATAAAATATATTGATTTCCACTTCCCATTCGTACAAT